TTATCTTCTCTTATTGTGTGATCAATTGTATTTAGGAATTGATGTTAGTTTGATTCAAATAGGTTACGATGGTTTACATTTCAAGGAGCAGGAAATTAGGTTGAAAGTTAACGCTTGAATTAGAAAATGTCATATGTACGTTATGGCACCTGATCTGGGAGTTTCTGCAATTGTGCCCTACACATTAATAGAGGTTCACTATAAACAATAAGGCATCTGCAGAGATGGCTTATCCCTACATGACTGCTGTATGTACTGCTGCTCTTTTTGATATCTTCAATTTTTTTTCTTTTACCGTATTAACCCCTCCTTTATGGCAGTGCCCTCCATGACCATAACAACAACAAACCCAGTGAAATCCCACAAGTAGGGGAGGGTAAACTGTACGCAGACCTTATACCTTTTGACGGTAGAGAGGTTTCCGGAAGACCCTCGGCTCTAGAGTGCCCTCCATGACCATACCTAATGTAATAGCTACAGGCTTGGCTAGCTTAGGTCTTGAGACTGAGGAAGTTAATTTGTGTAATCGGCTTCACTCTAGAGTGACAGTTAGCTACACTTACCTCTTGAAATTCTTGGTATGCTTTATAATGTTTCTTGGTTAAACTAGGTTTGTTGTAGCCATGTTGAACTAGCTCTTTTCTCTTGTAGCCATGTGAAATGTATTTCTGCTTCTTGTGACTGCCAGTGAAAGGGGCACCGTGGACATGTTTGTAGATAGCATACATGCTAATGAAGGGTAATGGATATCTTATAGTCATCCCCTTTTCTCCTCTTTTTTCTCTTCTAGGTTACCGCCCATTTGTCGAGGCATGTGTTGATGCAGATGAGAAAGGTGAAGTGCTAAAGTACATACCAAAGCTGACTGATCCTCGCGAAAGATCAGAGGTAATAGTTTATCTGTTCTGAGATTTCCCACATTTGGTCTATAGACATGTTTGACATGTCCCATAACTCAAGTAGTTTAAGTATGAGTTTTGAACTTTACCCACATTTGGTCATTATCGGCTGAGTTTTGAAGTCGAAAACAACAGATGTTTCGACTAATATAAAAGGAAGTACGTTTGTCTGATCGTTGCAAAAAGCTAATATGAGACAGATTCAGATATCAGAATGGGTTTACCAAGATATGCATTGTTATTTAAAGCATAGGGAGTTGTGTGAGCTTATTTCAATCCACAGAGCGGTAGCGATAATGAAGAGAGAATGATTACTTCATTCACTCTTTAACATAGACCACCTGGTTGATTTGAGTGCATGTAGTGTCATAAATGCATTTCCCACCCCAACACCCAGTTCTTCCATGAAAAAGGAAGAGAGGAGAATGAACTGATGATGAATGTGAAAAGACATTGGGTTACATAATCACCAGTAAAGATGCATTTGCTGCATCAATTAAAGTGATTTTTCTTGCTTATGGGATCTGTGAATTCATTAACAGGCTTATGCTCGAGTTGGAATGGCCAAGGAAGCTGCCGATGCTGCTTCTCAGGCTAAAGATAATGAATTACTTGGGAGGTTGAAGCAGACTTTTGCCCAAAATGCAGCTGCTTCATCAATTTTTGACACACTGCGAGACCGGTTATCCTTCCCAAGTGTTTCTTGATGCCGGCCATCTCTTAGCTGGCCTTTGGTGTGAGCCTGTTGTTGTTATGACTCTTCCAAATTAACATTGATTGAGGATTGATAGCGTTGGAGTGATGCTGTTCCACAGCACGATAAAAGAAGCCCTTGGAACCCATCTGCTGCATGCCCTCTCTCCTTGCCTGTTTTTTCTATATATTTATAGCGTTTGAGGTTGTGGAAGTGTTTGAATCCGGCAAAGATTCCTCATGTTCTAGATCCTGTGAATAGCTTGGCTGGAAACGATATATGAAAGCATGTGCTGATGTTTCTCCCTGAATTGGTAACAGAATTCGTTTGAGCTCTAACATTTCCATGGTATGCAGTTTCCATTTCTATGTGGCTGAGTGATGTAACATCCTCTGTGGATGTTCGAAAATAAACTGAATCCACCAGCTCGCTGGTAATGTTTTGCTTGTTTTTCCAACTCGTTTGGACTCTTTTTTCTATCCTATGTACGTCACAGGATACTTTGCTGGTTCGAGGAGTACGTACTTGAGAAATAGTGATTGGAAATTGTGATTCAGCGGAATAAGAAAAGCATTTATCAGTCACCCATTTGGAACAATCGAAACTAGAACAGATCACGAGTCAAAAGTCATCTCTTGATGTAACAACCTTGACCCCAGAAGCAGCTCCAATGCAGTGCATGGCTACAACAGAATCACCTTCCTTGCATAGCACTTATGTTTTGGCATGTCGAAGAGCGAATAATGTTACCTTTTGAACCAAGAATATCTTCTCAATTGAAATTTCCGTTCATCGCGCCACCATAAATGCATTGGAGTTGGCAAAAATGTCATCGGGCATATCATGAACCCGCTTGACATTGACAAAAAGAAAACATTGCTCCAATAGTTTCTTTTTGCCAATGTCAAGCGGGTTCAACATCGGTTAAACAATTTTTTCATGGTTTAACAATAATTTACACATAAAGTTAGTAAAAGATTTTGACAAATTGTATTCAACTGGACACACTTGTACAAGCAAAGGTCCGCCATTGTTTTAGATGGATAAAATTTTTCAGCCCATGCTTAGAAATTAAGCCTCCAACTATAGATTAGTAAATCGGCCACCACTATCAGCAAATTGCTCATAGCAATACATCTCACCAACTGTACACATAGTTCTGAAAGTGATGGATTTATAGGGTGAGCCAACCTTACTACAAAACCTCAATGCTCCAATCATCTATTTCCCGAAATGTGTTATAAATGCACAAAATTCAAAACCCCAACCCCTCTCCAACCCTACGATTCCAGCAACTAAACATCAATTCCAAGTAAATTGGATGGAGCCCTCAATATTCATTCTGCTCAATTTAGACTCATTTCACTCCCGTGCCGGAAAAGATTACCAAACGCCAAAAGAACCAACTAATTTACATATAGATTAAACTACTGATGTTCGTTAATATACATTTCATATGGCCGGTCACATTGAATAATAAGGAGAAATATTATTATTCATCTTCAATAATAGAAGATTACAGATATTTTTAATGCAAAATAGTTCATCTTCAATTCTCACATGCATCTTCCAAAAACATTGGTTATAAACTTAGGCTAACTTTCTTCATTGGGTCAACTTGGAAACAAATTTTACCATAATTTATTTGCTAGCCAAACTATCTAGCTTGCTCTAATTATTTAGAGAACTATTTGAATGCGATTCATCTCCTGGAGGCAAGCAAGAGAGTCAACTGAATCTTGCAAAATTTTAACATGGAGGCTGACGTTGTAACAAGTTAGAACAATAATAATAAAAATGAAACAATTACAATTCATGCTAGAGAACCCGTTTAATTATAGGTAAGTTCATTAAAAACGGTGTATCATTTGTACGCGCAACATTCCACTTTATTTTTGTCCGTTTCCACTTGGAAAACAGAATGAAATCGAACTTTGAACATTACGGGTAATTAGGTGCAGAGTATATATTCGGCCTAAAGCTTTTGGTAGTAGTTAAATTTCAAAATTTGACCAAGTCAAACATGTTGGTTGTCAGTTCTATTTAGTTCCGATTTATGGGGCGGATGTCGAATTTTGATATACAAACTTCTTAATTTTAATAGTGAATTTAGACATAAATTTTTAAAGTTTTTTGAAACAAAATCTATACATTTGGAAACTACATAAGAAGTATTATACGTTACAATAATAAAGAATTTGAAATATATCCAAAAGACATGAAAAAATCGTGGTTAAAAGAACTCGAAATTAAAACTCCGCCACCTAAATTGGGGCGAAAGGAGTAGTATTTATGTTCCATAGGACGAGGGCACGTGTAGTTCAAGGAAGCAAACATAATCAATTCAGTGGACGAGGGCACGTATAGTTCAGTGGAAAGAATACAAAGAGTTTACTGACTCGAAATCTTAACAAGATCCGGTGCGGTGCGGGTGTTTGGTCTTTTAAGTCAACCTACACAGAATGTCCCTACTCTCGACTTTAACTGATACTAACGTTGAATAGTTTAACTTATTAGCAGCTTCGTTTTTTACTTTTTAGGCCTTATCACTCACTTCTCAATGTTTTTGCCCATTCTCCACATCTTGCTGACTTTTCACGTACACGTGAGGACTATCCACATATTTTAATTACCATTAGAATTTGTTTGTTATAGTGCTTGTCCGATTAGGTGTAGACGTCTTTCCACACAATTTAAGTAAAATGTGAAAATCTTACATGGTTGTCTCTGATTTTTGTAAATAAAAAAACATCTCGACAGTTATCATTTGTGAAGGACGAAATTACTCCAAGAATAATTTAGGCACAAGCAAAAACTTCAACAAAGACTATATAAAAGAAATTTATTAAATTAGGGAGAGAACATGGCAAGTGGTTTTTTCACAACTCATAAACTCTTGAATCTCTCTACAAGAAAAACAAGTAATAGCACCCCTATTTATAATACTACAAAACCAAAAACCTATTCCAATATAAAATTGGTAAACAAAACTTAATTAGACATGAATTAAATAAACTACCAAATATCTAATCCTAGACAACTTACGAATACTAATTAATCTTGGTTTAGTTTCCAACAGCCTCCCTTAAACCAAGATCTTCAAATTTGATCATGCCCAACATCTTCTTCAACTTGATGAATAACTCCAATTTTAGTGCCTTTGTGAAAACATCAGCAACTTGCTCTCCAGTCTTGCAATACTCAATAACTATCTCCTGTCTTGAACCAAGTCACGAATAAAGTGAAATTTGATATCAATGTGTTTGCTACGCCCATGAAAAACTAGATTCTTTGTTAACACAATTGCAGACTTGCTATAACAAAAAAATTATTGTTGGATTGTTTTGCTTGTGTTGAAGAAATCCAAGCATTCTTCTTAACCACAATGATTGTGTAGCACTACTTGTTGCAGCCATGTACTCTGCTTCAGTTGTTGATAAAGCAACAACTTGTTGCTTTTTGGAAGACCAAGAAAATACACAGAACCCAAATAAAATGCATAGCCAGAAGTACTTTTTCTTTGTATCGTATCACCAGCCCAATCACTGTCTGTAAATCCCACAAGACTACTATCATTAGTGTTTAACCAAAGAATTAAATTCTCAGCTAAAGCTATTTTAAGAAGTACTCGGGCTTTTAATAACCAAGGAAATTAACTAATAATAATAATTAGACTTGTAATAAGAAAGCAATAAGAACGCATAAAAGTAAGTATATTTCAGTAGTGGTTCGAACGTGTCCATACAGGTGAGATTTTACTCCCTTTTATAGGGAATTTCTTAATATAACGCCTAATCTTCTTAATGATTGAGCATTAATGACTAATAATATCATTAATGTAATATTACAATAAGTAATCGTAACTTTTGCGTGAAGATTATGTAACGTTTGGCTCATTGATTGAAGATCTTTGAATTTGCCCTTTATTCTGCCTTGGTTCATTCTGACCGTGTCTCTTCAACTCCTCAATTAGACTAGGGTTCCCGCGTCTAATTATCTCGTGTGTATACTATTCCGTCCCTCTTTGTCCCGTACCTCTTTCTAAGTTTCTGACCAGCTGTCATATTTCCATTGTTCCACGTAGATTGCCTTGTCATCAAAATTATTACACGTGGTGAAGTCTATTTTTTACCAATACATATAGTTCCCCGCTTACCATTTATTTATCAATTAAATTTTTGGTAAGTGGATACTCATTTATGACGGGAATTTTTTGCCGCCGCTTCGTTCATAGCGTCACATGCGTCTCTGAATGTATACATCGCTGGTCACTTACATTTAATGCTCGTTCCACGTGGCGTCTTCGGATTGATTCTGCAATTCATCAGCGCCTTTTAGGGCTTTTTGCGGCTGCATCAGTCACGAAGTGACAATTTCAATTATGACTTTCACATCAGTGTTTTTTTCATTTTTTGGCGGTTGCCTTTGAGTATAAATACCCTTTTTCTGCCTTTACTTTCACGAAAAACTTCTAACTTCCTTTCATTGCTTGTAAATTCTTCTTTCTCGTAAATATGTCTTCCTCAAGACAGCAACCCAGGAAAGTTATCATAGTAGACGAACTATCTCCTTCTTCTGCTCCAATCCGGAGTAGGAGGGGTGGTAGACTAAGAAGCTTGAGTTCTACACCTTCTAGGGGTTCTTCTTCTCCTCGTAACATTACTCCTCCGCCATCTTCTAGGGTTAATGTTTCTTCATCTTCTTCTAGGGCTAGAGCTTCTAGATCTTTTTCCAAGAGTAGAGAACCTAATGAACCACTTCGAGAGCCAAAAGTTGATGAGATTGTTCATGCCGAGTTTTCTTTTGTAAAGGATAGTGAGGCCATAAGAAAACAGCTTTCTTCCATGGCATCCCATGATCGTGCTGATCTTTACCCTACTCAAATCACTGAGGGTTTAGTTTTCCTCGTGCATAGAGATTGTTATTGGAAATCTGGCCTTCCAGTCTTAGTTCCCAATGAAAATCAGAGAATAACGTCTTACAGAACTGGGTATTCTTTTGTGTATACTTATCCCTTTACTTTAGGATTCAAGTCTCCTATCAGCCTTGTCATTGTAGAGTTCTGTTGATTTTTTAATGTATGTTCGGGACAGATTGTTCCTCTTATCCGGAGGGCAAGAGCATGCCTTAGATATTTGGCCAACTTAGCTTCAGTTCCTTTTACTTTCCATCATCTTATTCATCTCTACTCTCCGATGTTGTTCCGCCAAGGAGTTTTTACTCTCGCGGCTAGGAGTAAAAGAGTTTTGGTTATACCTGATGATGATAAGGATAGAGGATGGTATGTCCGGTATGTTGCTGTCCCTACTAAAGGTTTGGTAGGTGAAGAAAATCTCCCCTTCCTTGAGAAATGGAATTTTGCACGTGAGTACAATTTTGCTCACTTTTCTTCTTTATTTTTGATAGATTTCCAGTACCGTGACTGTTTTGTTTTCTTTTCGCAGCAACCATGGGAACCATCGAGGAGGTCTCTAGTTTTCGTGGTTGGGTAGAAAAAT